GGCGTCTGCAGTAATGCGGGCGCTGTACCGGTCTGTCGTGATGAAGAGAGAGCTGAGCCTAAAGGCGAAGCTCTCAATTTATCGGTCCATTTACATTCCCACCCTCGTCTATGGCCACGAACTTTGGGTAGTGACCGAAAGAACGAGATCGCGGATACAAGCAGCCGAAATGAGTTTCCTCCGCAGGGTGGCTGGGCTCTCCCTCAGAGATAGGGTGAGAAGCTCGGCCATCCGGGAGGGGGTCAAAGTAGAGCCGCTGCTCCTCCACGTGGAGAGGAGCCAGTTGAGGTGGCTCGGGCATCTGTTCAGGATGCTTCTTGGTCGCCTCCCTGGGGAGGTGTTCCGGGCTCGTCCCACCGGGAGAAAGCCCAGAGGAAGACCCAGGACACGCTGGAGGGACTATGTGTCCCGGCTGGCCTGGGAACGCCTCGGGATCCCCCCGGAGGAGCTGGCTGAAGTGGCCGGGGAGAGGGAAGTCTGGGTATCCCTGCTTCGGCTGCTGCCCCCGCGACCCGACTCCGGATAAGCGGTGGATAATGGATGGATAGTCTGTGATTAATTTTTGAAGCATAAAAAACATGTTTGAATAGTTTTGTATCAATTTCAAACAGGTGGTTCCTGATGTTGACTTTATTCTAAATGTATGAGGACAGTCCTGTTTAGGGTCACATTTGCTTTTGATGGAAAACGTGAAGCCATTCAAATCTAAAAACATTTATTACCACTGAAGAATTCAGCTTTATATTTAATTTGTTTATTTTTTTTCCTGCTTGATCATCTTAAATGCTGGAAGCTAACCAGTTAGACCTGTCAGACTAAGTATTCCAACATGAGGCTGAATTTAGCCGGTTAGATTAGATCCTACAGCAGAAAATTCAGATACAATCTGAACTAAACATAGATTCATCATGCGAGTGAATACTCTGGTTGTTCAATATTTCAAACACACTTTGTGATTTGCAGATCATTTTCTTTTCCAAAATAATCAGAGGGCCTCGTTTCTCGGTGTCCATCTTTATTTACACGAGGATCCCTGCTTCTGACCCCCCCCCCAAAAAAAAAGTACATTCAGATTTTCCAACATTTGAATTTGTTAATTTCCCCCCTTCTGTTACTGTATGTTCCATCTAAACTTTTATTTCAATAATAAAAGTTCATCTTCTAAAATCAAGAAACTCCTCTTAGAGTACACTGTCAAAAATAAGCAAATATCAGTGAGATTTAGGATTAAAAAACAAGGTGAGAAAAGGGTTCTTCATTCTTTATACTACCTGGTAATAAATGTCCTATGTTGGATTTCACTAGGGAAACAGATACTTGTTAAATCTAGTTGAATCAACCTAACATCCAAGGAAAAACTGGGGTTATTCAATTTTATCGATTTTTTTCTTTTTCATTTGTTCCTTTTCCCCGATTTCAAGACAAAAGTACGAGGATTCCTATGACTCGATTTGTTAGAATTCAAGGCTCAAGGAGCAAAGACAGAATTTGCATCCATGGACTATCCACCCAGGTCCAGGTACTAACCCAATCCTGACATTTCATAGGCTTCAGAAAACCATTTTATAGTCATTCGTTAGCAAAAGGTTTAAAAGAAGCCAAACAGTGTTCTTTTCTTATTTTTGTTGGCCAGTCGCTCACTATGGTAAACAGGATTGTCTTCCTTGAACTGGAAGGGTCTCATTTTATCTTCTAAACACCTGTTGGCAGACATGACTCATCAAAAAGAAAAAAAAAACCAATCCATTATCAATAAGCAGAAATATATTTCAGGGAGATAAAATGGTGGGGCGATGGGGGTCTGCTTAGGGTTTGAACAAAAAAATTATTTAAGGTGAGTGATTGGCCAGGAAATTGGCCAATGTTGGACCTTAAGTACCAATCAGAATTCAGAGAACATGATTTTAGACAAACTGGGGATATACTGGTAGCAACAGACGTATCTGGGATATTGATCAGGGTATGAGCTGAATCCCAGAGAGGCCAAAATCATCCTAATTTGTGCATTTTCAACTTGAGAAAAGGCTTTTTTCCGCTTTTGAAATGAAAAAGAAACAGGTCCGGCTGTTTGCTACCACAAATCTCTTAACACTGACAGAACACATCACTTCCGACTTGCCGATACTCAAAAAACAGGTCCCGACGGCACAAAAAAACAAGTCCACTCTCAAATATTTCCCAGCTTTAATGATAAGAAAAAAATCCCCAGCTCATTCCTTTGAACTTTACAACTGAACTCAGAAAATTGACTTTTCCGGTGAGTTTCAGAGGCCACAGGAAAAGGGACTTTTATTCTGCGTAACCCCAAAAGCTTTTTCAGAGAGGAGAGTCGCTTCTCGGAAGGCCCCGGAATTCTCACAGTGTAAAAAGCGAAGCGGAGGATTATTTACATTTTATTTGGGGTTAATCCACAAAGTCTGGCTAAGGCCATCCTCCATGTTACAGACGATGTAAAAAAGGACGGTGAACTCTAACCACTGTTAACTAAAGAGTTCACTAAACACCAAGTATCTAACACCAGTCACCTTTTGTGTGACACTGTACAACACAATTTGTTTTGTTCAAACAAGCTACAGTGACAAATTAAGAAACGAAACAGTGTATTTGCTGTTTTTCACGCTTACACTTTTATCCGCTTTCATATTTTCTTAATTAGTCACACGATGTATTTGTAAAAATGAACGTTTAAAGACGACAATAGGCAGCAAGGCCTTTGTTTCAAATTAAAATGGTCTGGGATGTTATGGGGAAATATTTTTTTAAATGCTCCGTATGACCCAATCTTTTCATTTCAAGCCTGATTTATTAACTTTTAGAAATAATCAAATATATTATGTTAATTTATCCCACCAATTTAGGCAGGCGAACGGGTCATTTTTTAATCAGGCTGTCAGGACTTCTTCATTCTCTTTTTTGTTAACAGTGTACACTGTATTTTTTTCTCCTGTTAGAATCAGTGTAAAAGCTAAAAGAAAAACTCAAAGCATGCATAACTTCCACACTACCGCAAACGCTACAAACGTGACAAAACACCACATGGCTCGCCGGACAGTGGACTGGACGTGGAAATGAAAGGCTTTGAGTGACCACACCTGCCAACAACGCCTTCAGTACCGTTTGTTTTTTTTTTGTTTTTTTGCTGAAGAGGTCTACAAATAATCCAGAAGAGGCTGTTTTTGTGTGGGAGTTGTTTGATGTGACGTGAAACACGTAAACACTTGTTTGTTGGAGGAGAAGGTGCTGGAAGACTTGCGGCCAGCTGCAACTGGCCACTGCTGAGCTTTTTTTTTTTTTTGCCCAGAAGGGTGCTTGCCATATCATTTATTTACAAAAAATAGATTTAAAAAAATGCTAACATTACAAACATTTGCTGAATGTTTTTGAATAGTTTTGTAATCAAACACCCTTTTAAAAAAATCTTTTAAAGTCAAATGAACCACAAGAAGAAAGTTCAAATAGGCTTCTACGTTAAAAATTCCTCAGGAACCAGATCCAAGGAATGCAATGTTCCTGCAAATAACCTATATAATCTGCTGTTCGCAAATAGTAGGACAAATGACTATCTTTTAGATCCCACGTTAACAAAAAGCAAAGGCTATGCAGACGCTTCCTAAGAATAATTCAATCAGTGATTGAAAAACAACTATTGGCCATGACAACACTTCTAGAAGATGGCCTGAGGCATGTTGCAAACTCAGGGTCTATCATGTATTGTAGTTTCATTACAAATCAGGGCTAGCTTAACGGCCATTGGTTTAAAAATAAAAAAAGCAGGAAAATAATAATAATAATAATAATACTGCATCTGCCTAGCAAATGCCTCCAAACACAAACCATACAAAACAATCATGGCTTTTTAGCACTTTTTACTTTGCATTCGTCTGTTGGTCGGGAAACTACCCCCTGCAAACATTTCAACACTTCATTTCACATGAACTCCGTGAGCCAGACACCTTTTTCTTCTTCTTACTGGATCTCAAGAACTGCATATTTAAGAAACCGGCAATGTGAACAGAAAAAGGGGTGTTTCAAATGAAATAGGAATTGAACGACAAGCATTTTTTAATGTGTAAACCGCTTTCTCAACCACTGTGTCTGGGGGGGGAAAACATGTTTCTGCTCAAATTTTCTAAATGGAAAAAAATAGTAATCAAAATTTGTAGAGAAAAAGAGATCGAGCCTAAAATAGCAACAGCGTTCCACAAAACGTACGGGCATGAGATGCCCGAGAATGTTATAAAGCAAGATACAAGGTACACAGTGATGGGAACAGGAGCACTTTTTGACCAAATAAGATGGCGTCCTTGGTGGCAGCAACTGGTCATGTATGTAAAAAGGCCAAAAGAAGACCTGGATTGTTGCCTTATCCAACAATGAACAAAGAGCCCTTAGATATCAGTGTATGCAACCTACAAGTCTTCCTCAATCTTTGCTCGTTTATATCAGCTATAGCTGAGAGGTACAGAATGTTTTCTTAAATATGTGACTTTAGGCATTCTCAAATTGCATGATAAAATGGGGAACAATAGAAAAAGATACAATGCATACCTCAAACTTGTTTGGATAAGATCGGACAGTGTGTTTCGGATCCCCACTTTCCTCCAAATGACTAAAACTGCTAACATGAAAGGCACAGAGGAGCTACAGCACCGTAAAACAAACAATTTAGGTGAATTTGAAAGCAGTGGACTGACAGCTGGGTCCTCAGAAAGACGCTATTTAAGTTACATTTGTTTCAAATTGATTTCTGAAGCACACACAAATATATACAAACACTTTTCAAACTACTGTCCGTTACAAAAGAAAAACAAAAAACAAATGCAGTGCACCATCTGGCTTGAGTAGGATGGCATTACAGGTGGGAGGGAGGCAGTGACGGGCTTTGTTGATTATCATCGTGGTGCTGTAAGACACAAGTTGAGTCAGTCTTTGTGTTGGACAGAGAGCCAAACCGTCGCGGCTCAATGAAAGACTTTGAAGAGGGGCTGGAGACCAGGACATCTAAGTGAGAGGTTGCTTGTAGACTTGAATTAAAACTCCTCCTGCTCCTCAGCATCTGGTATCACAAAACCCTCCTGGACAGGTAAGGACAGAGTGAGAGAGGGAAATATGGAAAAGAACCACCACAGACTTATTAGCCTTACTAAGCTTGCCATCATCTCTTTGCGATAAAACCCAACAAATTGGACACATCAAGCCCAGCTATAGGGTATGAAAAACATACTCTATAGCTGTGCGTAAATGTACAACTGTTTTGTTTTTTCCCTCTTGTTTAATATCTTTCATAAAAAAATAACTTAAACTAGATACGTCTTAGATGCCTGTTCTCTTCAGAAGTGGGAGTAAATCTACACAAAAGAAAAAGATTAGAAGAACAAGTATTTTCTGATATGATTTTAAAAAGGGGAAAGAAAAAAGCCCAACAATTGTAACTAATTATCTATCTATCTATCTATCTATCTATCTATCTATCTATCTATCTAT